TTCTCGCGTTGAAAACACGTATGCGATCAAAAAGTGAATAGAAAACGCATAACACGAGATGGATATTGATAACAGTAAATGTCACTTACCTGTTCAACGATTGGACTGCAGTGAGGGCGGGTAGCCCGTGCGGGCGACCTACCAAGTGCAAGGATGACGACTGTAGTTTACTAGACAAAACAGTGGAATTTAGTTTCGATGATACCCATGAAACGCTTTTCATGGTGCGACCTTTTGCAGCGGCTTTCTGACCAAATACAATACACACCCATATATATAATTCGCTTCGTCTGTTTGGTTGTAAGTTTGTTTGTTTGTTTGTAAGTTTGTCTGTCCGGAAATTCGGTTCGACCTGAAGAACGACTTGGAGAGGTTCAAGGTGGGAATGGGTAAAGCATGGGACAAGAACAAAAGCACACTTGACCTGACCCAAGCCCCGCCCACTGTGGGCGGGGCACTTGCTGGCCGGCGAGCCGACTGGTAAATCCATAAGCGTTGCTTAGGCGAACATAGAGACAACCATGACGCTGAAGCTCGGCTCTGAAAGACTCCCGAGCTCTAGTTGAAAGAGTGTGTGCAAAACAACGAAGGACTCTTATACACTTAGCACTAGAAACGGTGCAGTTACATGAGTTTGTGGCATGGTGAAACGGAAACGCTTAGCGGTCGCGTAGTTTCTAGTTCAGAACGGGTATTCCTATGATTCTTGCGAGCAGATCGACGATTTTGTTCACTCCTCCTCTTCTATTGAAGGCACTTTCCTCTCGCAGGACTCCACGGGTAAGTGACAAGAGAGACATATTCGCCGTACTGGTGGGCGTCGCGGCGACCCCAACTGCTCGCAGCTGTCAATGGTTCCTAGTAGATGGCGACAAAAGGTAATTCGAAACCGAAAATGGTCATGAATGTCCATGATGGCAGGGCCTACATGAAGTCCGGGGGTCCAATTGACGCGTTAGCAGGAGCTAAAAACGCCGCGCTCATCACCGCGCGCGGCGGGGCGGCAAATTACGATTCTTTAGCCCGTCTCTCGGTTTCCACGGTACAAAAGAGATTTTAGTGAAATGTGAAACTGAGTTACTAGTTATTCAAGCTTTCTGTTGTCCGGCCAAGACTCGGAGCTGTCCCACGTGTGTGATCGGCACTGAATACCAGTTTGTACTCGAGTAATTCCCTAAACAATACTCTTTGGCAATGAAAGAGAGTCGGCATTATTTTCAGAGTATAGACCCACAGATTTTGTCGAACTGGTGATTCTTAGATTTACTATATGCAGGCAGAATAAGCTACTGCGATCAAGTGTTACGGGTCGTAGGTGCTCAGTCATGAACCAGTAGCCTATAACTAACTCCCCAGTAGAGCTGAGCAAAAAAAAACATTGGGAACACCCTGGGCAGAGACCTTCTTCCTCATCAATGAGTGCTTTGGATGAGTCAGTTGGACGGGGCAAGCCCAATCAGCAGGACTCCAAATGCAACCGATCCCCGTAAGAGCACAGGAAATCACCCTACGACGCTCCAGGCAACGCTATGTACACACGCAATTCCGCTTGTAAGCCGTTGTCTTGCAGAGTGAAAGTAATCGTGGTTGCAATAATCACGCGTCTCTCAGTCTCTTTATCTTGCCGTTTCGATTGACGAAAATGGTACACTCTGCGAATGCTGACTACTATGCAAAATGCAGGGAGACATTTCGCGAATTATTTGATCGCGAGAACTGTGTTTAATAGGGATGTCTAACAACTCAGTGACATATGTGACACTCTCCACGAGATGCTGCTCAGGAATCACCATAACCGAGTAACCGAGCGATCAGTTGAAGGGTGCCATCAATCTTCCAGTGTGACCTTGAATTCCCTGCAAAATGCCGAAAAATGCTTTATTTTAAAACCACATCATTTCTTTTGATCGGAGCATTACTGATGATAGTGTAAGGTTAATGGTAAGAAAACGAGCAGAACTTTTTCGAGCATACAGTCGTCATCCTTGCACTTGATAGGGGCGTGTCGGCGAGAAGGAGCGTGCACACTGTTTGAAGCCTTCTCAGCCTTTTCGTTGAAACGCGTATGCGACAAAAAGTGATAGAAAACGAGTAACACGAAGGATATAATACAGTAATGTCACTTCCTGGTTCAACGATTGGTGCAGTACGGGTGCGGGCGACCGCGCCGCACGCAGCCGCACTGACATTGACTATCAAGTGCAAGGATGACGACTGTATTTACTAGACAAAACAGTGGAATTTAGTTTCGATGATACCCATGAAACGCTTT